CCTAAACCCTAAACCCTCAAGCTATTGCTGCATGCGATACTGGTAAACCCTCATAAACCCTAAACCCTAATAAACCCTAAACCCTAAACCCTATACCCTGGGGTACTTGCGGGGGAGGGAGAAACTAAACCCTCAGGCTGTTGCTGCTTGTGATAACCCTAAACCCTAAACCCTCAAGCTATTGCTGCATGCGATACTGGTAAACCCTCATAAACCCTAAACCCTAAACCCTAAACCCTGGGGTACTTGCGCTGTAGCTAGCGAGGCACTAAACCCTCAGGCTGTTGCTGCTTGTGATAACGCTAAACCCTAAACCCTAGACCCTCAAGCTATTGCTGGTTGCGATACTGCTAAACCCTAAACCCTAAACCCTAGACCATCAGGAACTGTTTCACACCGCCGCCAGCACTAAACCCTAAACCCTAAACCCTTGGGTCTGGGGAGACCCTAAGTTAAAAACCCTAAACCCTAAACCCTAAACCCTAAGGCGATGGGAGTCACCTTGTAAACCCTAAACCCTAAATCGACGACCGTGGGATCCACTCTAAACCCTAAACCCTAAACCCTAAAGCTGATGAGTCTGACGCTTGTGTTTCATGCCGTCTTTGTTTGTCTGTTCCTTGTTTATGAGGGTTTAGGGTTTAGGGTTTAGGGTTTGTGTATATATGCAGAGAAGTTAAGGGGTTTATTGTTTTTCGTTTTTTGTATGTTCTTTGTTTATGAGGGTTTAGGGTTTAGGGTTTAGGGTTTGTGTATATATGCAGAGAAGTTAAGGGGTTTATTGTTTGGCGTTTTTATGAGGGTTTAGGGTTTAGGGTTTAGGGTTTAGGGTTTGTGTGTATATTCAGAGAAGTTAAGGGGTTTATTGTTTGGCGTTGGTTTCCATAACAACAAAACAAATTATATAAAAGCTGCAGCACAAACCCTAATTTATAAACACGGGGGAGAGGTCCCGCAAACCCTCGAGGGTTTAATGGAGTTGAAAGGGGTTGGGAGAAAGATGGCCAATATTGTTATGCATGCTGTATGTATCTAAACCCTAAACCCTAAACCCTAAACCCTAAACCCTAGAGAGAGGGGATACTGGGTTTAAACCCTTGCTATATATATATATATATATATATATATATATATATATAT